GCCCCCTGCTCAGACCCCTGTCTGTCCGTCCAGGCGAGCGGCTTTCACCGAGGGCAGTCGTGTGGGGTTAAAGCTGGGCAGCGGGGCAGCCCTGGGAGGGTGGCAGCTGGCTCTGTGTGCCCTGTCCCACTCCCACCGCCATGGCTGCGCTTGGTAAGGCACTGCCTGCCCAGCAGATACTGGGGCCTTCATCAGACCAGGCAGGACCCCCCAGCCTTGCCCATGGCTGGGAGCGGGGAGATGCAGGTGGGGAAATGCCTGGGACAGAGGGCAGGGAGGGGCTCCACTGCTTGCTCCTAGGGAAGGCAGTGGAGGCCCTTCTTCCCAGGCAGCTCCAGCTGGGTCCCCCCAGGTCACCACCTGTGCAGCCCCCTCCCCTGCAGGGTCCCCCAGTGCCTGCAGCTGCAGTGCCACAACCTGCACCTGGGTACAAATTTAGTATTTACAAGTTTACATATTTAAATATTTACACATTTAAATATGTAAATTAGATTATTTCTATACCCAGTCGGCCATAATTATTTGAGTGAGTTTGCCGGTCTGCAGTATAAAAAAGGTTGATAAGCACTGGTCTAGAGGACGGAACGCTGGAATGGGACTTGGAGCATCAGGGCTCTGTGCCTGGCTGGCAGGCTGGGTGACCTTTAGCAAGTCACTTCCCCCCTCTGTGACTCAGTTTCCCCTCTGTAAAATGAGAATAATGATGCTGCTTCTTTTGTGAAATGCTCTGAGGTCTGTTGGTGAAAAAGTGCTATGTGAAAATAAGCTATCAATATTATAACTGTCCCAGCTGTCCATAAAATCCATGTATCGATGACATTAGAACATGCTTAGCACAGTAAAAGCCAATTGTCTGAAATTTGCACCCTTCTCTGCAGTTACATGTGTACAAAACAGATGTGTTTAGCTGAAACAGATTTAATAAAGCTTCTGTTCTTCACAACCCTCATAAATTCAGGATTTTCCCATAAGTACCATCAGGAGTAAACATCTGAAGATTTTGACAATTATGCTTAGACTTTAGAGAAGATTTTTAACAGATACAATGATAGATGTTATTCCCATTTAAGTACTTTCTACTAGTGCCCATGTTGATAACAAGACTGCCCTCTTGTGGCCATTGTGAGAACTGCTCCCATAGGCAAATTGAGAAATCGTTATATCCTCAGCTCATGCTATTCATCACTTTATATAAAAACAATAAATGATATACAATCAGAAGGAAAATCCACCCATGTATATCTATGTGGATGCAGGCAAAAACTCAGATGAGGGTCAGATGGTGCTTCTTAATGTGACACTAATTCAGCTGTGATGTAAGTCAGTCTCCTAAATTTGTGGGCCAAGTTGATGTTCATGCAAAAAGGTCCATGGGTGCCAACCAGAGTCAAACACCACTCAGAGCAGGGCTGTGTGAGCCTCCCACTCACAGTGGTACCCAGCAGTACATTCTGCTCTTCCAGTGCTGGGCTCCCACGCGCTGCTCTGCTGCTGCCCCTCCAGCTTGTCCTGCAGAATCCCCCGGGGTTCCAGCCCTGAGTGCCCACTCACACAGCTCTGCCAGTGCAGGACTACTGTGACGAGTTAAATTCTGTATCCTTCAAACATTGCTATAACTCACATCCACTGTATCCTTCAAACTGCACTGCACCTTAGTCCTGACCTACATTGCCCATTACTGTTCCACTGCTAAGTCTCACAAGCACAGCAACTAATAAGCAGGCCAAGTTGGACCACACTGCTACAAACTGGGTGCATCTCCATGTGCACATTTACTGCACAGTAACCTAAATTACTGTGCAGTAACCAAAAACTACTGAGCAGTACAGGTGCTCATCTACATGTGCATGCCTGTACTGTGCGGTAAATATGGTGACTTATGCCAACTTGGGCATGTATTTGATACCAGCATCATGCAGGTATCAAATTTGTACCTGATTAGTTACTGCGCAGTAGTGCATGTGTAGATCTGTCCCCCCACACCCTTTCCCTTCCCCCTCCCCTCTCCCCTTCTACCACACACCAGACTTATCAGCTGCACGCAGTTCTTCAAGCTGCTGGGCTGTATCCCCTGCTGCCTATGTGCTGTGCTGCAGCTGCACGCATGCACGGGCCATTTATCGGTCAAATTATCAGCTATATCAGGTCAATTTCTGACACAGACAATTTTATTTATATTGGTGCTGATTCGATACTGGACTGATGTACTTTCCACCCATAGCTCATATTTGGTCAGCAGGAGAGTCAAGGCAGCTGAGCTGTTAATGGTGATGTATATTGTTCAGCCCAACACTTGCTCTCATACCCTATGCTCTGCCCAATTCTTCTTTCTCCCAGGGCTAATTTCATGCCTTTATATTTAAATAGATCCTGTTCTATTCGGAACAATAAGCTGCTTCTTTCCCATGCATCACCCTCCTCCTTTGTGACTCTGCTTAGAACCCATCTCTACTTCTCGGTCTTAGAACATAAGTTCCCCCCACACTCTAGGGCCATCTGAAACTCACTCAAAGCCCTGATCTGTGTGTTTTAATATGCCTAACTTAAACTATAATCTCCCCAGGGCGTGGGCTCTCCTACCTCACCTTGCAGTGATGATGAGTATGTAGGCAGTGCTAGAAAGCAGTCTTTAGCAAAGGTTTCCTCCCTCAGGGTCTGTTCATGCATCCATGCTCATACACTGGGATTGATCTGAGACCAACTCCTGATAAGCTCTGACTTTCAATAACAGGGGCTGGATTTAACCCAGTGACCATGGAGTGGAACACTCCATATCTGAATCCCACCCAGCCCAGAGTGGGAGACCAGTTAATATGCTGGGTTTTTCTTTGAGGGTATACCAATGGTGGATTTGGACTGAACTGTAGATAACACATCAGTTATTGCTACTTCCAGCTCTGTCTGTGGAGTCCACAGTAGGAATGCAAAAAAACTGTTCCTTAGCAGTTGATTCAAACTTCAATTTTCTTACACTCTGGACCTCGCTAATTACCATTTGTATTGCACAAGTGCAATACAATGCTTTGAAGCTTTTATGGTGCACAGCTCCACTGTGTTGGTTGCTGTACAAACACAGAACAACCAGACAAGACCCTGCCCAAGGAAGCTGGGGAAAGGTGACCCCAAGTAAGTGTGCAGCCACTCTGTGGATTTTTATCTGTGATGCTTAATAAAAAGCAGGGTCAATTCTTTAACCGCTGAAATGTCTCAAGATCTGAGAGGGGATTTTTAAAGGTTTTGTTTATTTATACTGATCATTTCCATTTGATTCTTTTTCTTCAACAAGGCCCTTCTCAGCTACTTAAGACAATGGCCAGGGTAGGGTTTCAATGGAGTGAAACTAACTCAGTTGCCAGAAAATAAAACAATCTCCCTTCTCCAGATCCCTGCCCGCACCCCATCGGGGGTGTGGACGCTACGTTCACCACCGGCCGCCATCCGCAGGCCGCCCAAAGGGACTGGCGGCATAGCCGCGCTTCAATTGAGGACTTCAAATAGTCCCTTCTCCAACCCCAGCCCTCTCTTGTTGTTACATGGAAGTATGGCCTGGGATTTAAGATAGGGATTTTTTACCTTCTCATGAATCATCACAAGCAATATGAGCTTTGCAGACTATATTAAGTCCTCAGGCTCAAAGGTATTTAGGCAAGTCACTCTTACTGCATGCGCCTCTGCATCTCTATGGATTGGGACATTATGCATAGTGACTCCCAGAGGGAAGCACAGGATTAGAACAAAGGAGCTCCTCTAGTTCTGTAGGTTGGGGGTGGGGGGCATAAAACACTGATGATCAGACTCTCCAAATGCAGAACTGGTGTGTAATGTGTCAGGAAAGAGCCTTGTTACAAACTCAGTCCAAACACAGTGAGCTCAATATCACTTACAGCAAATTTGCTCAGATGCTTTTTTTCTTAATGAGGTGAGCTGGGCCAGGTTCTTCACTATGGCTCACCCTTTCCCCTGGCCTGATCTATTCTGAGAGACCAACAAGGGAAGGGCAGAGCAACACACCTGTTCTCAGTGAGCCAAATTCAGATCTGGCTGAATAGACGCTAATTCCACTGTGATCTTTGTCTGCCTGTGTGGTTGACTTCCCTGGCTACTAACTGGAGACACAATCATGCACATATGCTTGAGAACACAGGCATGTTCAATCAGAGGTGTGACTATGCTGTTGATAAATCCTCCCCCTCCTCCCTTCCTTCCCTTTCACTCCACCTCTCCCCCCCTCCCCCAACCTAGCTTAAATCTACCTAGTACAAGAAGCAATGCAGAGCTAACGGCTGTGTCTTAAGTTCTGCTGTGGAATGAATATGGGTGGGACTGAACGTACAGGCTAGTTGTGTGTTAGCCATATTAAAGGATTGGGCAGCAGTGTTTTGGTCTAGAGTTTAGGATCTGAGGAACTGTGCAGCTGAGAAATTCATATCTGGGCTCAGATTCAAAATCCTACAAAGCTGAGGTTGTTCCCATTAATGTTCTGCCTCAAGCCCCTCATCCAGTGAAAGGCAGAGCAAGGGAAGATTAAAGCAACCACTACAGCCCTTGTATGAGTTCAGTAACATGGTACACTGGAGGGAGCCGAGAGATTCTTGATGCACACTGCTTATTGCAGGGAGTGGCTGATGATACTGTGAGCTTGGGGTCATAAAAGCCTATGCACCTCTGATTTTTTTAGTCTGCAAGGTGTATCTCTACCATGCCTTCTGATGACATTGAAGCATTTTCTGCAGACTCCTGACATTAGCCACTGAGTCCCTCCTAACACTATCCAGGGTTGTTCCCCTGTTGATTTACAAAGGGATCAAAATCAGACATTTCTCTGAATTCTCTCACACATCATAGCTTTCAATGGAATGGACCCTGCACATGAGCTGATGCTGGTTCTCGATCTGCAAAAAAAACAAACAACAAAAAACAAAAAAACCCCATACGTTTGCCCTATCTACCAGACATTGCAAAAAATCTAAAGTAAAATCAAAAAAAAAAAAAAAGTAAAATCATGGCTAATTTGTCTTACATAAAAATCAGTGAGGAAGGGGATAAGGAGAGAAAGGATTTCAACTAGTATTTCACTTTCTCTTGTCCGCAGCCAAGTCCGTGTTGTAACTGGAAACTTCAATGAGGTTTTCATCAGGATCTCGGAAGTAGATGGATGTGATTGGTCCAATGGCACCAGTTCTAGGCACGGGGCCTTCTTCAATCTGAAAATATTGGAAATGTTGATACTAGGCTAGAGGGTGAAACTGCATGCCAGGTTACAAAACGAAGGCTTTGTTTCTACATGGCAAACAGTGAAACTTCCTGAGTGATTGTGTACCTATAAATCAGCTCTTACAAATGCCAAACAAAAGCAATACAGGCCTGGGTGGAGAGAGAATTGTTAATGTTCATAGTGATTTGACAAGGCTCCTGGCTGCAGATCCTTCTGAGCCCTGACACTCGGGCCCTCCTGCTCCTGAACCTGTCATACACTATGTACAGAACATGGTGGGTATTGTCATATAAAGGGCACCAAAGCAAGCCATTCCATTTCATGGGTACTCATGTTTAGCTTCATGGATATGGGTATCCTCTGTCCTATACCTGTTTTATGCTGGTTGGGCCCCACTAACCTTAAAAGAGTCACTCCTCATTCTTACACATAAAGGATGCAGTATGAAGCACCAGGTCTCCAGAGATGAAAGGGTTGTTCACTAGCTCCATTCCCCTGCTAAGCCCCTTTCTGATCTGTTCATCCCTAACCCACTACAGCATCCCCTAAGACAGAATGCCATGTGGGGGATACACTGCCTGCCCCACCTTCAGGTGCTCCACCAGCTGGTCTGGAGGGGTCTCCGAGATCAGGCAGACATCTGTGGAACCAGGAACTGGGCTACGGGCCTTGGGCTCAAACTCCTTCCCAGCCTTGTGGAGGTTAAACTTTTGGTTGCCAAATTTTAGTGCTTTCTGGTCTTCCTGTTACCAATGGAAAGAAAGAATCAGTACAGTATGTTACATTTGCCTCTGCTTCTTCTGAGTGCCAGGATGGATAGAAAAACCCTGCTCATGGCTCCAGGGACAAAGCAGGATCTTCCTTGCTCAGGATCAGATGAAGTGCCCTGTGTATTTTCTGTGATGGAAAACGTCCTACACGTGGAACCGTCCTTTCTTTCCTTTCATGTCCAGCACTTCAAAACCTGTTAGGGTTGATGGTATCACAAGAATTGCAGATTGCAACCCATCTGTTAGAGCTGGCAATGAGCATGCTTCTTCCATAGATCCTATTGATTAGCTATTCTGGATGTGCCAGTCTGCCCTGCCTTCTGCCTGATTTGAGACTAACATGACTAACAACCTCCCTAGACTGAAAAAGACTCAGTTACTCAGGGTCACACACAGTCAGTGGTGGGATCTCCCAGGCTCCAGGGAATCTATTCCCACTTTTCCCAGTGGGCTGTTCTTCCATCCATAATACAATGCAGAACAACAGAGTGGACTTTTTCATCACAATTCATTCAGAAATTTGGGAAGGGGGGGGATAGATAATTGTGTCACCTGGACTACTTTTGCACAACCAAAACTACTAAATGCAAAGTAACTCAAATTTGTAGATGCACGAAGAGCTTGTGTGCACAGTTATGGTTCTACCTGTGATATTTGTTGCTCATATAAACAGCATGCCTTCATTTGGATGCAAAGTGTTTGGTGACCTCTCTGCGCTGAAAGGAGAATGCCACATGCAGTGTAGATGGCTTTCTTCTGGTCAGTTTGGGTTGTGGGTGATGTGGGATTCATTTGTTCTGAGTCTGTTTCCTTCCTTTATGCTATGTGCTGTAAAGAGACATCACTTCTCATAGTGACTTCCTAAATCTTCTATCTATTGGCACTCAGTTCTGCTATTGTAATTTTTATTAAATTGGGATCTTACACCTACATGACTCATAGGGTCAGTGTATGTTACCCATTGCCCAAACGTACCTGATTCACAGAAGGTGTGGGCCTGCAACAGCCCCAGCTATATGGCCTAGGAGAGAGCCCAGGAAGATGTCGGGGTAAGATTTCTAGGCATTGTTATAGCTTGACAAATGTGAGAGGAGATTTTCAAAAGCACAAATGATTGTTGAGAGTCTAATGCCCATTGAAAACTAATGGGAGTCATTTACCCAACTTCTACTCATAGTTTTTGAAGCCCTCATGCCCTTTCAACTAAGCAACCTACAAGCAGCCATGGGAAGTTGGGTTAGCCAACAAAAAAAAATCGTTTGTGGTTAACACTTGAAACTTTGCTGAAATATCTAAATTCCAAACATTTCAATCAAATCCGAGTCTGGGAGTCCTGAGCTTCAGCCCTGTGTTGGAAGGGAGGGGAGGACTGACTCTTAAAGGCAGTTTCTTCCTGATCCCCAATATCTAGGTTTAGTGCTTGTCCCCTGAAACAGAAGGGTTTATGCCCCATCAATCCATAAGCTCTTTACCTCTAGAGCACCCTGACACATTTTAATTTTGAAATGTCTGCAGGCACATGGAGGATAAACAAATGGGGAGAGAAATTCACAGAAATGCTGTCAATTTTATCCTTCTGCAGGGTTTCTTTTTCCTTCTTTTTGTTCAGCAGGTGCTGACCATTGATGGAGACCACACGCTGAGCTAACTGGACCCAGCGCTCTGGCACTTCCTACAGTCCTCATCATTATACAGATGGGGAGAACTGAGATGCAGGAGATGCCTTGCCAAGGGCTACTCAACACATCAGTGACAACACCAGGGCTGAAGCTCAGGACTCTCAGACTCATTGGCTGCTTATGTTACCTTGAAGGTGACTACTTCCATGCCCAGGACTTTAGAATAAAAGGCTACGGTGTCCTCACTGCTCTTCACAGTCAGCACTAGGTGGTCCAGTCTCTGGATTAGACATGGGGGTGGACTCTTATCCTTGTCCAGCCAGGACATCACTGGAGAGTCAGCAGCCAGAGACTAAAATAAAAGGAAACATGACTTGTGGGAACAAGCTGGGCTACCTCCTGATGGGGCTGGCCAGTGAGATGCAGGGTGAATTAAATGGAAGCGGGAAGCAAGCTTTGGTTTTATTTGGGCCTATGGGTGAAATGAATAGAAAAAATGAGGTCTCTTCATGAAACCCAACTCAGCCCTTAGGGCCCAGTCCAAAGCATGCTGAAATCCACAGGACTTTCACTGATGTCAGTAACTGTTGGGTCAGGCCCTAGAGGAAGCAGCTAATGAATGACAGTTAAATGGAAGGGCAGACAGCACAGATGACATTTATGCTCTCTCTTTTAATGGCAATAATGAAAATATACATGCGTGTTGAAGAAAGGAATATACATGGCTGTCTCCATCTCCTGCCACTTCTGCCCTTTCTGCTTTTAGTGTGAGTGGACACTTGCACGTGTCATGGGTGAAAACCAATGAGGACCTGCCCAGGCCCTGGGCCTTGACTTGCCAATTTTTTGAGGAAGGAACCACATCTGGCTTTATATATACACACAGCCTCTGACATCACAGGATCCTGATCCTAAGCAGAGCCATGAGGGCTCCTGCAAATTTATAAGTCTTTGCCAGCATTACTGCCACAGGGCCGGTCATGACTAGAACCGTAGCTTGCAGCTCTCTGGGGAACGGGGGATGTTTAGGATTCCCAGTCCTAACCATTTACTAATAAAAGTCAATCTTCTTTGAAGAGGCCAGAATATCTGTTGGTATAAAATGGTAACCTCATCCTGGTTCAGCCTTCAAACACTACTGTAAAATAAGGACCGAGAGCCTGATTCAAAGCCTATGGAAACCAATGGATTGCACCCAAATTCTGTACTGATGTAACTATGCGAAGCCTCTAGCGTTCTACTCCAGTATACCATCAGGGAATCCAAGGGGATTAATAGTGATAAAACACTGCAAGGGGATGCTTAAAGCCCGACTGTTATCACTGAGGTTTTTAGTTTAACTTCCATGGCTCTGTGGGCACATCTACACGAGATGCTTAACTACGCGGTAGCATAGTTCACTGCACAGTAAGCACATGTGTCTACATGCAGTAAAACTGTGCAATAAAAAACACTTAATTTCAACTAAAGTCCCCTGGGCTCCAGGCTGGGAACCTCTCCTGCCCCAGGGCAGAGCTACTTCTATGGTAGCCCCTGCCTCAGGCCTTTAAAAGCCTGTGTTTAAAGACTGCTCCAAAGAAGAAAATCTTTTCCCCAACTTACGGCTTTGCTTATTTGCTCGGCCCCATGGAAACCTGCTCCCACACACTTACCTTGCACTTGTCTAGCTGACAAGATGTGGTTAGCCTTACTGACAGCTTCCTCACATTGGTGGAAGTTCAAAGTGCTGGATTCATGTTTACAGTTTTTTTACACTCCAATACCCCATGGATTGCTGGGAAACATTGTCTTTGGGAAAAAGCCTCAACCTCTGGAACAAACCACTTCCCTGAGACACTCAACAAGCTACCCAGCAACATCACTGCGTGCTTCACTTCACCATCCTGAGAGTTCTAATAAAAAGGCAGGGTTTTTTAAAAAAAGACTTCCAGCCTTTCCCATCGTGAAGTGATACAAAAAGGAAGGAAAAAGCTTCAATCCAACCCCTTTCTTGAATGGCCTTTCTCCTTTAAATCAAGGTTCTGTGCCTTAATAGTGGGTGATGCAATTGCTGTAGGAGTATTATTGATTATGGCTACAGTGTGATCAAATTTATATGGGACTCACTAAACTCCTGGGCTAGAGGTACAGAAGCATTTCTGTACCTCTGGGTTAAACTGCACAATGGTTTTACACTCCAGGGGCCCATCTACTCCAGCACTATCAGCAGCACACCTCTGGCAGCGACAAAGTTGAAGGAAAACTGAAATTCCAAAGTCCAGCTCAGCAAGCAGTGAGCTCAGTGAAAAACCTTTGAGCAGAGACACTGGCACACGTCCCTTACTTATCATGGTTTGGAACTCGAACAGGATACCCCCAGGACTTTAGAGTCAGAAATACAAAGAAAATTTCACATAACATATGGAGGATGCCATTAGCCAGATATGATGCACAATTACTGTCTGCACCAGCTACAGCGAAAAAATATACACCACTAAGAATTACCCAGGTTTTCTTAGGCTGGTGTTTGAAAATAACAGCAAATATCAGCACCCAACAAAATGCATCTTAATCTGCAGACTGCCTCATCTCTCTTGCAAAGTGCCGTACATTCCTGGACTAAATAGAAAAAACACACATTATC